TAGAGATAGGCAAATTTCAAAAAATCGGATTTTATAATTCTGTTCTAAACTTCAGTTTTGTGTTAATAAATTTCCTTAAATTGGTTATATCTGACTCTGCATTCTTCCTCCTGAGAGGCTCATTCCTGGACTTCAGAGTGGCTCTTACCCTCGCGCCTTAATCATTTATTTCGTTTCAATCGGCGGTGTGTCCGATAAAACACACCTGGTGGCAGGACCCTACCTAATAAATCTTTACGGTCCCCGAAACCCACAAAGTGATTTAAGGTTATCGAAGGATCATTCGCAGCATTGTCTAAGTTTATAAATCGCATTTTCGCGTGGCTCCGTGTCCAGGTAGCTGTCACAATCAAAATTTCCAAAATGTCAAAGAATGAAATATCATTTACTACCGATCTACTCAATTCGGAAAAATTAAAATCAATGTCAATTTTTCCGATTAGAAATTGCAGATGGTATTATACACAATATATATATATACGTAGAAGAATACTAAAATGTTTTCATTTCCGTCTTTTTCCATCACCAGGAACCAAACAGTGTTTACAGAGACGATATAGCATGATATATAATCGATATTTTCTGAAGATAAAATTAATACGATAGTTATTTTAAACTTTTTATCATTTAGAGCTTATAAAAATTTACGTATCGAACTAAATAATAAAGATTTTCCCTTTTCGTTATTTTTCCTTGTTTCTTCTGAATGTAACGCATATATTCAATTTAAATATTACAGACGTTTTTATTAAGTTTGTTTCGTTATTCATTAATTTACAGGTCTTGCAATTACAGAAGACCAGAAGTTGATAACATTAAACGAGACACGGAAATCTGATCTCTTTGTTTTCAACAAAGATGGCGGTGTAGAAAACCGTAATTTATACGAACCATTAATTAAGCGACATGAAAAATCGAAATGTCGATTTTTGGCGTATTACTCTAATGAAGTCGTCGTATCTGATTTAGGTAGGAAGAAATAATACAGAGAATATTTATCGAGATTTTATCTAAATTACTGAATTTTCAGGTTTAAGTATGATGTATAAAACTACTGTGGATGGTAAATTGATCAAAACCTTCGGCACTTTTGGAAATATTGAGGGAACCATGAACGAACCATCTGGCATCGCTTTGGATCCGACAGGAACCATGCTTATTGGCGATAGCAGAAACGATCGTATACAGGTAAGTTATAATTAAATAAACACGATTAACGCAACAGAAACTTTAAACGAATTAACATTACAGGTCTTTGATTGGGAAGGTGAATATATGGGTAAAGTGACTTTCTCTCATCCCATTCGAAGACCGTCTGACATAACTTTGACTAAAGATGGACGTCTGTACGTTCTTAATTACTTGAATCATCACTTAGCAATTTATGCTCTTAAAATAGAGTAATTTTCAAATCTGTTCTTCACAGATTAATCATTGTGAATTTTAAGTATTGAACATATTAAATTGAATTCATACTGTTTATCAGATTTTGAATTCTTTTTCATATTGTATTCTTTAAGTTTCTTACAATGTAATGTACATGTATTGCATTTAATTTCATAAATTAAAACATCTAAATACTTTATTTTAGATTTTCATTTGGTGTAATTACCTTGGCTTTTTAACATACATAATATATGTTAAAAACTACATAATTTCCAAAACATTTCGTTCAAGTGGATGATGGCTAAAAGTATGATGAAGATAACAGCTTTTTTCCTGAAATCTACACAAAGCTTTTTTTACTGGCTAGTTTTAAAAAAGTTGAAATATTTTTCAGGCATGGAACCGTAATATAAAGTGTCTTTCGAAAGAATTTACACCGTTAAAAACTATAGAAATGAGCGTGAATGTAAATTTTTTAAAAGGCTTGTAACTTAATCAAATATTTCGTCTCTATTTTTTCGGTTGAAAATGTATGAAAATTCGAATTTGGCATACGAAAAGTTGTGAAGACCACCATTTCCCCCCAGTGGCGTGCCGTGATATTTAATAAGAGGGAAGCTGTGTTTTTGTAAGAAGCCGACTTCCAGAGGCAATCAGTCAGTGATGGTCTAGGGTCCATTCGTATTCGTTTATTCGTGTCTTCTGTGAGCTTTACTAAAATTATTTAAATCGTCAAAGCCGTTCTTATTCCACACACTAATTTCATTTGAAATTAATAGGCAAGGCCAACAAAACGAATTTTGCATTTCTATGCATCCACAAACCATTTTATATCTTCATAAATTTTATTGTGAAAATGTCGAACAAATTTTTTTGTTGACGTATTTATATTTAATTTAGGCATTGGTCTTTCTCTTTTAATAATGTTTTCTTTTTTATTATATAGTCTCGAGCCAAAACTTTTTTAAAATAAATTTTCAATATTACAATTACATTCTAAATCGCTAGCCATAATAAAAGGCCTAAAATTAAAAATAAAATTATAAAAACTTGTTAAAATAAAATGTGTGATGGATATACTATTATACATACCTGGTAAAAAATATTCAATTGTATGAATATACTTTTAAAGAAAATTATAATTAAATATAGCTTTGTAAAGAAACGTACATAAAAACTACATAAAATATTCTTTACTTTTTAAATCTTAACCACTTAATCAAATAGCTCCCTACGAGTAGAATCAGAGACGGTCCTGCTAGGTGAGCGGAACCAGAGAAAGCTCAGTTAGAGAGTTAGACAGGGAGAGACAGAAAAGGGGGACGAGACAGAGAGATAGAAAAGAATGCAAGAGAAAGAACAAACGAGCACCAGACCAGACGAGTATCAGAGCGAGAGTAGCTCAAGAGAAGACGAGCAAGCATCANATAAAAGCCTTAACCTAGATTATATATTTTAATTTATATGAATGCTTATCGGAATAATATACAGCCTATGTCCACCCTGAGGTTCCATTCTAAATATTGGTGAAAGAATTTTTGAAATCGGATGAGTAGTTTCGGAGATTACCTGCTGCATACAAACTAACATACATACAAACATTACCTCTTTATAATATTAGTATAGACAAGTGTGAAGAATTGAGCCCAAACGTTATTTAATTTTTGAGGTCGCGATATTTTGTTTCAGGTGTTTTTCTTAATTTGAATAGTTTTTGTTTAAAAGGACAAAAACCCTATACTTTTCATTCAAAATTAACTTCCATTTAAAAGTTGATGGATGCCCAGTGCTTATTGTTGCTTACTACGTCAGCAGGTTTCTGTTGGAAATGGCACGTACGATTTGGTAAATTAAAAGTGGACATAAAATCGTAACGTCACAGTATAATTTAGTCAACTTAATATTAAGTACAATATATATATTGTCCAATATTGTATGGGGAAAATTGTCGATAAGAGAGAATTGTAAAACGGTTATAGCTGTGACAATGCCGAAGGGCCCCCCCTCTATGCCTCGGCACCACAGGACCGAAGAGTCGACATCGTGTCGGCGAAGACGGCAACGACAAATTTATCAAAACTGGCACCACTGTGTCTTCTGGGTAGACACAGAGACCGTTACATTCGAATTTACGCGCGAGCAGTCGCGTATGTGGACTCTTAGTTCCGAGATGGAGGCGTAAAGAAAGAATCAGAGGAATTACACTCTATAAATTGTCTATACATAATGCCCGTTTATTGTTCTATTTAAGTTATATACAATCGATTCAGTTAACGTATCTACTTCTTTCTCGATTACCTGTATTTATGAGAGAGAGAGTTCACATTTAATTCGCGCGAGGATAAATACCTTGATATAAGTTGGCAAATAGTCGTTTAGTCCTCGAGTTTCTGTGTAGAACAAAGTTTTTTCGAACGTTGATATTGGCATAAAGTTGTTTCGAACGTTGATATTTCTTTAAGTGGTGATTCTCCCGAACGGCGGCGATTAGAATAGTTCCGGCTAATCCGTTCACACCAAACTTCAGAGACTGATTTTTACGCATCGACCCCTCCTTTTTATAAAAAGGGTATCGTTGGGTTTTTTCCACTGCCTTATTAGGATTGTTTTTTTACCACTGACCAATACTTGTTTTCTTTCGTCTTTTCGTAGATTCCGGGTGACACATTCGATGCATCATCTTCAACCAGGAATTAAGTTTGTGGGAAAACAATTTAATGTTCTTTTTAAATATCGGTTTGTTGTTTATTTCTCTAAACTGTTCTTCTTACAAAAAAAAAAAATATTTAACAATTTATTCCAATAAGTTCGACTCTCATATAGCAAATATGTAGATGAGCAAAAACAATTGTTAGCGAATGAGTGGGTAGATGAGCATGAAGTTAAAATCTGATCTCACATTCGGTGCTTAATTAAAAAAACAAAGCTAAAGAGTAATTCCCGATCGACAGAGTGTGATAAGCGATTTAGTTTCAGAAAAGTTGTAATTGTAATTTAGACTTAAGCATCTTTATCGGATAAGTTGTTGAATTCTGTTTTTGTCAAAAATAATTTGTTCAGAACTAAGTAATTTTTTTCAATTTACAAGAAAAGTCTTTAAAAAGATTTTCACAATAGATTAACAGAAGAAAACACAAGGACTCGTCATTTTCCTTCATCCTACGTATTTTTCACACCTCGGAGTCGGCCTTTTATTGTAGACTCTTATCCGCCTCGGTATGTAAAACGTGTAAAAAAATTTTTCGTCGGAAATGACCAAACTTGCAAATGTATATTTACACTAATTAAACTAGTGAATAGCCAGAACGACAATTAAATTTTAAAATGTTAAAGAAAATACTTTACAAAAAACTTCTTAATTTTTTTTAAAAATTGAATTATCGTCTTGGCTATTTACTAGCTTTTTAGCTATTACTAGTGTCATTCCTTAATCTCGATAACGAAGTTAGACGAAAGAAGACACCAGATATGGAAACATTAGAGCAGGAGACTCCTATGAACTATATACGAACTTCCGTTGCAAGGCGGAAATCATGTTATTTTAAAATAAAAATATTTGTTTAAGCAGGTCGTATTTTTCGGTCGAGTGCCGAGCATGCAGTCAATTATCGAGCATTGTATTTTTTTTAACGTGCATTCGAATATCGAATTATTCGAGTTGGGAGTAGTTCGTGCACTGAGGCACCACTGTATATATNCAATTAAATTTTAAAATGTTAAAGAAAATACTTTACAAAAAACTTCTTAATTTTTTTAAAAAATTGAATTATCGTCTTGGCTATTTACTAGCTTTTTAGCTATTACTAGCGTCATTCCTTAATCTCGATAACTGAGTTAGACGAAAGAAGACACCAGATATGGAAACCTTAGAGCAGGAGACCCCTATGAACTATATACAAACTTCCGTTGCAAGCCGGAAATCATGTTATTTTTAAATAAAAATATTTGTTTAAGTAGGCCGTATTTTTCGGTCGAGTGCCGAGCATGCAGTCAATTATCGAGCATAGTATTTTTTCTTTTTTAACGTGCATTCGAATATCGAATTATTCGAGTTGGGAGTAGTTCGTGCACTGAGGCACCACTGTATATATTTCTAGCGCTGATATTTTAAACTAAGAATAATTTTGTAAAGGTCTCTTTTCATAAAACCTTTCTCCTGTTATCACGTTTCCTTTTAATGATAAATTGGTTTAATTAACTCCGAGCATGAAGTTTCTGCTGCTTATAACTATAATTATTTTTGTATTAATTCATATTTCGTATGAAGAAACTACGGATGAATTTTGCTGTAAGTAGGATGGATCATAATGATGATAATTTATAGCTACAAAACGAGCAATTATTTATTGTGACATCGTCACAATGCCGGGCTGCAATTTTTAATCATATTTTTAATTAATTTAATTCAAAATATACGCTCTTCACCTTAAATTAGTAGTGGTTTGCCCCTGTACATCATACTTTTCCTTTCACAATAGAGTCGTCTGTCTAACACCTTTCGGCGGAAAGGTTTTGAATTGACGTAAAGTGACTTTCGGAAGTTGTTATATAGTTAATCGGGCCTCCTGCCCTTAAGGTTTCCATATCTTGTCTCGGATTTCATCTGCCTAACTCTTTTCTAAAGACGGACGACAGTGGGAATTTATAGGTTATAAAAAAATGAAACAATTAATACTTTTCCCAATTTAACACATAATATGAGACAATTGTGGTATTCTTCAAGCACATTTCCACAATTAAAGGCCGTTGGAATGTACTGCAATTAACATTGCTTTGGTTTTCCTTGTTTTATTGAAAGAACTATATTTTTAACTATACAAAGTAGGCATATACTAGTTTTATACATTCTCAGTCAAACATTTTATTATTTTCTTTTTTATTTGCATATTGCTTCTGTAAACAGTGGTACCGCAAATATAACCAAGAGTGCTACCATCAAATTTTCATTTTCCAAATGTACAGATATAAATTTAAGGATATGTGGCACCATCTAATTCCCATGACTAGTTAATCTACAAATTTTAAGTTTATCTGTACATTTTTTATGTTCCTTGCAGAAATTATCACATTAAGTAATTCTTATCATTTACGTGATTTTAAATAACTGAATCGGAAGGCGAGATATTTCATGCAAAAGCCCACTGTACACCTATGTAACTTACTGTGTATTTGCATTTTAATT